GTAAGTTACTGTCTGTCTTTTCTGTTTCTCAGCCAAAGAACAGAAAAAATTGGCCAAGGGAAATAAAGTCTTGATTGCAATGGGAAGTCATGATATATCCAGGATCAACACCCACATTGAATTCCAAGATGCCAAAGAATACTCTGAGCACAACAGATTTATGTTGAAAACATCACCTCTGTATTTTAAAACGCAATCTTTCAGGCATACAGCCCTCTCTTCTTCCTCTATCTCCCTCTCCTTTAGTGGAGAAGAAAACAGCTGAACATTTTTTCTTGAGGTGATTATTCTATTCCTTCCAACAACTAACAGAGCAAGAAAACAGGAAAACTGCAAGTTCCCATTCTGCTCTTCTGACACCTGATTAGAATACCCGAAGATTTGACATTTGTCTGCAGTTGCCCACACAAATGAAGGAACTAGAATTGGACTGCACCCATGCCATGTCTTCTGGGGCCTGTGGAAGTAATGATGTGCTGTACTAAGCTGGACTGAGAAAGCTACAGGTAGCAATGCCTCATCTACAAGGTAAAAGGCAAGAAATAATGCTGGTGATGTAGACAGACAGAACACATGACATGGCTGGCATGGAATTACACTAGTCCCTAACAAGATGATGAGATGTGGGCTCTGGCCTAGGAGGAGAGGAAGGTGGAAGACACAAAGAATATCTGATACTCATAACACAGGGATAGGGAGAAACCTGGAGTGCTCACACAGTCCGTGTGCTCAGGCTGGAGACTGGATGGGGCTGGCATTTCAGCCTGTATGTGGACACCCTGTGGGGCTCTCCAGGGGCTGTTGTGATCCATGGATATCCAATGAGCCCTGGTGAGCTCAAGGGGAGGAGGACACAGCACTGTTTGCAGCTGGGATGCAGAGGGCCGCTCTGCGTAGCTGCCTTACATGGAGGCCTGGTGCAGGCAGGGATGCAGTTATCCATGGGCCTTTCCTCTAACCCAGACAGAATTGCTGCTTTACAGATCATGCAACTAGCCTGCCTGCCTGTATGGATTTGCAGGCACTTCAGCAGAGAAAGGAGAAATTCAAATGAGAGAACAAGTACGCTCTTATTCAATGTGCATCTTGTGGTTTTGCAGGTTTTTCCACTGAAAATATTCCTCTGAAGTTTCCTTAGTGAGTAAGCCAAAATGGGTCAAAGAGGTATTTGATTCACAGCCTTAGAAAAAACACTTGTGTGTTCTCTTCTCCACCATTATCAGCTCTCTGTGGTATCCACCCAGCACCTTCCCTCACTGACCCTTACCCACTGCTGGCCACATCACTCCTTGGGCAAGTTCTCTCCTCTCAAAACAGCCTTTGGTTCTTCTTTGCCCTCCTCTTTCATGGTCCTGCAGCCACTGTCCCAGCTGTATCCTTCAGACAATATTTCCTCCTCCTGTGTCAACTGTCCCCACGTCTGTGCCGTCCTGTGGGCTGCCACTTGGGGTACTGAGAGGAAGCCATCCTCTGTGGAGGTGATTAAGAGTGACTGAGTCCTGTGAGCTGTCCACCAGCAAGAGAGGGTTTGCTTCTAATATTTCTGCCCAGATGTATTGGTTTAGCCTCCTTCCAGATGAACTCCCCTTGGCCCCTCAGCACAAGAGGGACATGGAGTTCCTGGAGTGAGTCCAGCAGAGGGCAACAAAGATGATGAAGGGACTGGAGTATCTCTCTTATGAGGAAAGGCTGAGGGAGCAGGGCCTGTTCAAGCTCCAGCAGAGATGACTGAAAGAGGACCTCATCAATGTTTGTAATCTGAAAGGGGTGTGTCAGGAGGAGGGGTTCTTCTCAGTGGTGCCAAGCAACAGGACAAGAGGCAACGGGCAGAAACTCATGCACAGGAAGTTTTATCTGAATGTAAGGAAGTTCTTTATGGTGTGGGTGACTGAGCACTGGAGCAGATTGCCCAGAGAGGCTGTGGACTCTCCCTCACTGGAGATATTCAAGAACCATCTGGACACAGTCCTGTGCCATGTGCTCTGGGATGACCCTGCTAGAACAGGGAGCTTGGACCAGATGACCCCACAGCAGTCCCTTCCACCAGACCCATTCTGTGATTCTGTCAACAGAGGTGTCAGACAGCCATGCCCTTCGTTTGTTTTTGATAAGGAGGACAATTGTTCCTGCCATATGTTGTTCTAAATCATCACTGTCTGCTCCTTGTGCTGGGAACTCAGGCCCAGCTCAGTGCTGGACTTCTGTGCATGAGATGGGATCTGACTTAGGCACTATAAAGTTCATCCCGTGAAACCTATTCTGGGAAATAGCTGAGAGATTTAAAAAAAAAAAATTATTCAAAGCCTGCAGGATCCCTAGAAGGAAGAAGTTCAGTCCTGCCTTGCTGTGCTGGTGGTTGACCTCTCCATGCATAAGGCACCAGGGCTGCATGGCCTGGGAGATGTCTCTTCCCTTTGTGCTGGCTGTCAGAGTCCTCTCAGCACCTCCCAGGCACTGCCAAGAGCAGGAGCAATGGAGACAAGGCAGATTCACATGCAGTGCCTGCTCCTCTTCTTCAGGGTAGGTGCAAAGGTTGTTCAGTCCTTCTGCAGGCAGATTCTCTGCAGCTCAGCAGACCCCCACAGCCAGACCCATAACTCTGTGTGCAGTGGGACTGAAGTGACAAAGCTGAGGCATAGATTTTCATATACAAAATCTTGGTTCAACCTGCAGCAGATGGGGGCTAGTTCATCTCTAAACAACACTTCATCGTTAAATGTCACACACAACAGTTGAGGGGAATAAAATAAAAAAATTTTAGTCCCCTTGCTGAACCTCCTGTAATATTGTGCTTCTGGAGATGTTCAAATCCTTTCCCACCAAAGATGGATATGAAATTGCATCTTACACAACACAACCCAATTCCCTCTTCCCTGGGGTAAAGACAGCAGCTCTGACATGCCTCTGCAGCCCCACTTTCCTGTTAGGCAAACTGAGCTTTCATCTAAGATGTTTTGAATGTCCTTTGAGTTCAGATGCTGCTGCAGAGCAGGGGTTCTCATACCACAGTATGTCTGCAGTGCTGAGGTGAAAGGGAGCCCCTTCATCCTGCCCTCTGTCAATTTGCATCTAGCATTTCCTCCATTTGCAAACCAAACCAGCCTCCCCAGACAGCTCAAAACATCTGGGCCATATCCATCACAAGTTCAGGTCAGAGGTCACACAACAAGGCACAAGACCCATGCACATGATTCTGCCCCTGGTTTCTGCCTCCAAAGCCCTGTGGCAGTGGCTAAGCCCACCAAAGCTGCACTGCAGAAGCCTTTGAGCACAGGGATTAAGGCAGACCCCCTTATTCCACTGCCACCACATCTGTGCACAGGGCATCCTGTGTACAGCACCCCAGGGCTGTCTGTGCTGTGTAAGTCCTGAAAAGTACTGCAGAGCTGCTGGAGGAGGAGAAGGAGGAGGAGGAGGCTTTTCCTGTGCCTTGCTTGTGGCTCCCAAGTTTGTTGGTTAGAGGCAGAGCCCTGTAAGGTGCAGAGGGAATTAAACTCCCCAGTGTACATAAGCTCCTGAAAAGTTATCCCTATAATTAGCTGTGTACACAGTGAGCACAGTCACTGGGGACACTGCTTCTACTCTCAGGCTTGTTTGCAGAACCAGAACTTCATTCATGTCCTATTTTGTTTCCCTGCAGCACTGAGAAAGAGTCACGTCGCTGTGCCCAGTTTCTGCAGCTGGCCAAGACAGACTTCAGGTGCTCATGCAGCAGGTCAGGGCCCCCACACTCTTTGATCTGGACCACAGACAGATGTGCCTGGTGCTGGAAACACCTACAATGCTAAGACTGCTCACAGATGTCTCCCCAGAAGACCTCTCCCTCTCTGTCAGACTGCAGAAGGAATAAACCCTTCCTAGGGAGGAGCAAGCTATTGCTGTAAAAAGGAGCAGTTTTCCAACTGAGGGAAAGTGAGCAGGCTCTTGGCAGGAGATACAGCTCTGCCCATTCCCAGGGCAAAAGCAGCAAGGTATTCTGACACCTTAGACCCTTCCCCTCTCTCTGGGGCACAGCCTTCAACTCTTAACATCTATACTGTACTTGTATAGTCTTTTTTCAATGCACAAAAAGCCACAAGGGCATCCAGCAGAATTCAGACATATTTTTTTTATATTTTACCCCTGTACACACACTCATTCAAAAGGTCACCTGGTGCAGACAGTTTTCTTCCCTGGCCATACAGATGGTGAGAGCATGCCTTGCTTTGATCCACAACAGCCTCTCCTGGGTAAGATTACTGACTGCAATGTCTTAGGCTCATTCATTTTTGCTGCACCATCTCAGACCTGCTTACCTAGTGCTGTTCTGGTCCCAAAACTTCAGATATCTCCTGTCCTGGTAGAAATATCTATTGACAATGGGTCCATTTCCATAGGGAATTACTCTTAGCAACCAACCTGACTGGGTAGGCATCGCATTGGTTAAACTCAGACAAAGGAAGTTTTTTATCCACTCATAAATATCCACTCATAAATAGAGACTTTGTCCTTAAGTGAAAGACGAGGGGAGTGGGAAATAACATTTGCATAAAAATTCAGGCCATTCACTTATTGCTTTATTTAGTAAAATAAATGGAAAATTTCATGTGATATCAAGCAACAAACCTGTTTGTAGTATCAGGCAAGGCTGACAGTGGATCCCAGCATGGCACCAAAACCCAAAAGAATGAGGGAAACAGATCCCTGGAAATATTAGTTTTACTTCTGATATTGTCATTTCACTGTGCCACCCTCTGCTTCAACAGTGACACAGAAAGACATGTTGTAGGACAATACCAGAGGTCCTGAAGTACTGAAAAAAAGAGCTCTGGAGCCAACAAATGAGAAGAGATAAGAGAGAAGAGATTCCTGGAGAGGACAGACAGCGTGTATGTATATGGAATGATGATGGGAATCCATGACTGACTTGGCTGAGGAATTGCTGAGCTGTAGGGCTGAGTGAACTCTTCACAGACCAGAAGCAGACTCTGGCTACAGTCATCCTCTTGGCTGAGAAACAATCAGAGTTCTTCATTGAGGGGCTTCTCCTCAGATTTGTCTTCTTTCTAAAACACATTAGAGGGATGAAATCAGATTTGACATTACTTGGTTTCTCAGCATAGGGATAAAGAAAACAAAATAACTCAAATGCCTCCCTCTGCTGTCTATGCCACTGCCCTATCTCATTTCTGTCACACAACACAAAGACCCTGTGCTACAGGAGGATGAATTTTGACAGAGAGAGAACTTATAACACTGCATGAACATGAAGATTTAATTGTGCCTCTCCCAGCAGAGACCACTGGTACAGTCCTAAAGCCCTATCTGTACACTCTGTTCTGTAGTCTTCCTGGTAGATTTAATTGCTATCCATGCCACTGGTCTGGAATTTTGTCCAGCTGCTCTCATATGCTGCCATCCACCACCTCCCCTCTCAGCATCCAAAAGCACCCTTCACTTTGTCTCCCTAACTGTTCCCAACAGATAGATGATAGATGCTTCACAGAGACCTTCATACTGCAGAGATCAGTGAATTCTTCTTGCTGTAGACTGGAAGGCAGAGGTCAATGAAGAAAGAGACTCTGCAAAGACATCCACCTCTGCTCTGCCCTAAATCTAATGTTTCTCTGATATTCAGGTGGAAATGAGAAAGTGATGCAAGAGAAAGTGACAGGGACGGGGAGGAGTTCAAGGAACTGAAGTAGTCTTCTCCAAGAGCCTGGTAAACAACAGCATCAGGACCCCCTTTACCTTTGGCATTCTTTGTAGGAAACGGTTACAGAAGTCCTGAACACGCTCAATGGAGATGTCATCCACAGCCACCACTTCGTGCTCATCATCTGGGGTGTGGAATATAGCCAGAGCTGGCAGCTGGGACTTCTTCAGCTGGAAGTACGACAGTACTCGTTCATTGCTCTCCAAATTGCTGTCCAACAGGATAAAGAGGATCTGTGATGGAAATAGGAAAGAAAACGTGAGAAAAACAGAAGCTGAGACAGAGAACAGATCCCCAAACAGTGATCATATGAAGATTAACAGTGATATTTTTAGAAAGATTTTGAGAAAACCATCCATATTCTGTTAAGACAACGCTTTCCTTGTCCACTATCTACCAGCTCCATGCAGTACATTTGTCTGTATTTTATCAAGTCCAGACTTACACTACCAAACAAAATGTCTTCTTTCACCTTCTTTAAAAATATATCTACAGAACAACAGGAAGGCAGTCTCCACTTCTATTCTCTTAATAGATAAGGAAACAAATTGTGTTTTATCTTAACAGCAAATGTCAAAGAAGCTGAATCCTTTACTTGTTATTTGGATAAGATGCTCACATCCTTGCCAGACCCAGTGTAAAAAGGGGTTTTGGTGTGGGAAGAATCAAATTCAATTGCAAGAATGTGAGAATGAAGTACAGGGCATCAGGAACCTGCAAGGATAAGAACATGAGAGAAGCAAAGGACATATTGAAGTGAGCAGAAATGAGGATATAAGGATTTGGGAAACAGAAGTTTTTGTCAAAACACTGATGTCCATGCAGCACAGCTCAGCAGAGCATTCAGACCTGAGGAGAGAAGCTCAACATGAATAAACCAGGATGAGAATGACCTACAGTAATTATCATAAAATTTATAAAAGAAAATAAACATAGCAGTTAAAGAATTTAATCAGTGACCTGATTAAATAGAATCCCTAAGCAGATGAGATCCACATCAATGAAAAAACCATCCAGCTAGCATATGTAATTTTGTCTTCCTTTTACCCTGTGCAATCTACCAGGCCTAGCATACTTAGTGTACCTATGGACAAGGCTGTGGCTTCACTTACACGAGAAAATAAGAGCTTAAAAAAAAAAGAATCAATGTAATGTGAAGATTATGTGCCCAGTTCCCAGGCTGTGACTCATGTTTTTCTTTCTTTTCAATGAAGAACACCCAAGTTAGTTCCAAACTTGTTTTCTTCTCTAAAAATAAACTTCATAAATACTAAATTCTTTACTTATCAAATTTATGTTCTATAAAAAACAAATATATCTGAAAACTTTCCTAGGCAACAGCCTATTGGGAAGGAGGGATATTCAGGCTGCTGTAAGGTTTAACTTTGGTTTTTTAGTGAAATACAGAAACAGGAACAGCACTTTCACTGGCTATGTGATATTCACCATTTGTAATTTTTCTTCCAAAAGTCAACTGTGCCCCAAGAGCAAAAAGCTGGTGAGCAGACAGGTGGTGGGGTATTTCTTCACTTAATTCATCTTTTTGCAGGATAAAACACCAAGCTAGAAAAGGCTCAAATATTTAAGGTCCACAGGTCTAGGGATATGATCTAAGGGGCTTTCAGATGGAACAGCAGAATGCAATGTTTTAGGGCTCTCTTTTCAACTAGAAAGCTGGAAACAGAGGCCAGTGTTGGAGGCAAGCACTTTCAGAGTGTCAGTACAGTAAATGGTACTGCGTTTTCATGGTGCATTCAACAGCTTTCTCTATAAGAGATTGACTAGACAACAATATTTTTTAATCAAATGTTAAAGAAGTCATTAAAATTTAAAAAAAAATATTGTTAGCTCACTTTCTATACAAAACCTCCACCCCCTTTAAAACAGATGAATAGTATTTTAAAATAATAACATGAATAAATGTTAGTCAATATTCTTCACTTCATCAAGCTTCCAGAATCTGCTAAAACACCCAAAACTAAAAATATGTACATACTTTATCCATGAATACCAAGAATAGAGTAAGAATAAAAGAGCAAAAAGGTTGAGGTTTAGAACTCCGAATGCCTTCTTCCTCACAGGAGCAAACAGAAACACACAAACTGGCCCCTCAGCTAGAGAGGCTGAGATATCATTGTCATTCAGAGTCACTGACTTGGACCTCTCTAATGACTCCCGTTTGGCTCACAGAGCTACAGTGTGCCAAAGCGCAGCAAAGTTTCCTTCTTGGCCTACATTCAAAAATACAGGAAAGAGAGCAATTGCATTTGGCCACTGTAGCTCGGAAGAAGACGCCTTAATGCCTAAGAGAATGGTGCATTCCTGGGAGGTCTGTGATGTGGGATGGGTCCTCCTTCAGGAGAAGGGCCCACCTCTGCTGGATGTGCAGACTGGTCCCAGGGTCACACCTGTGGGGCAGAAGGGAGGATGTGCTGGCCCAGAGGCCACAAGCACTGGAAGCCTGATCTCCACAGCAGCTGAAAACCAAGAAAATTTCTCAGTTGTCACATTTCCATGACAAGATGCCATCTCATGGAACTGGCATTTTCTCATGAGGAATTTTGTCCTGAGATTTCCAGTCAGCTCTAATCATAAAGAATGAACACAGTAACCATGTAAAATTACATTGACCATGAGGCAGGATTCACATTGCCTGACCTCTGCCATCCAGATCCTAGTCTTGTCTCAGCCAGTCATCTGCATAACCTCTACAATAAACAGTGACAGGCACTTTATTCCACCCTTCTTAGAGGGGAAGGAAGCATATGCCTGTCCTTCTCTCTCAGTGCTGAAAAGAGCCTAAAACATTTACTCAAATGAGTAAAGCTAGAATTACCAAAGCTAGAATTCACCAAAAACAAATCCCTCTTATAATGACAACTCTAATGTCACTGCTAGAGATCAGTTAGTTCCACCCAAACAGAAATTTCACTTTCCATTTCATGCCATCCTGTACAACAGCTGGTTGTACAGGATTAAAATCTGAGATTATTTCCATGATTTTTTTCATTTTGTAGCAGTCTTCCTGCCCGTGTTCAGAGATCTGCTGCTTCAGGCAGTGAAGGATATCCTGCATTAATCAGAAACCCCTGACCCAAAATGTCCCCTTCACACATGGTATTTTCTGCACATTGTCACTTGCAATAAACCACCTTTCATAAATTTTGTACACTGGTGCTGTCTTGGTGTCTTAACAGCTTGATTCCTAGCCCAGTGCTTTTAGAACATCAAGTTGGTGGTAGATACTAAGATATGGAATGATGTTATTGCCCAGGGAATTAAAGATAATTGAAAATAGCATGGCAATGATAGAAACTAATTTGCCATTGCTTAGTTTTCCTCCAACAAAGACAAACAGAAAGGATGGTCAAGTCTTATATCCAGTGTTTGACTTTGAACTTCAGAGAGAGAGCTGAAGTTCACTGTTTTGTATAAGCAAAAAGATCAAATTCTGATGTCCGAGTAATTTCTTACATCATAGTGCATCAATGCAAAACAAAAACATCAGTCATGAATTAAAAAAAAAAAGACAGCTGTAAAAACATCTTTACTGCAGATATCTATTAAGTGAGATTAAAAGTCTGTATTTACAGACTTCTCTGTTTATGGCTAAAAAAGGTATCTCTAAATATTATCTCTCTCAGTTCTGGATCCATCAGTGTCTGACAAGAAGAATAAAAGTTGTACGAATAACTGTCTGCAAGAGAAAGGGCATCATCTTTTCATTTCCATGGAAGAACTCCTGAAGGACACCAGGAGTTTCTCAAAATGCATTTCTAAATGGACCTACATCTAAATTAAAAGGGAGTTTGCAAACATCCCTACCCAAATCATTCGGACATTGGAAACCAATTATGTCAGCTACAACAAAAGCTGCTTTTGTTATTCCCAACATCACCTTGTTGAGGCTTCTGCAAACGCCCATGAGTTACACCAGCTGTAATTACCATGTTATACTCTGATACTGTGGAAAGAAAACTGAATATAAGTATTCTAATTTGGCTCAGCAATGCGAACCCTGACATCTCCTTTCCAGTGCATTTCCTTTCCTTGCCTGGACTCTTGGCAGTACTTTCTCAAATAAGCACATATTTGACTGAAGATACAGAAGGCTGGTGGATTTATTCCCGCAGCTGCAGTGCTCTGAACTCTGTTAGCTGTTATCCACCCACAATTGTTTCTTCAGAAGTGCTAGAAAATTACCATATTTCTTCTTATTGTGGTCAGTTTCTGCTGGTTTAACATCACCTATCATTTGCATTTTCATCTCCAACATTTTACAGGGCTCAGGTTCCACAAAAAAATCTAGAAAATTTAGACTGCCTCCAGGCCCTCACTGTTGCTCTAGGTGCAGTTCAGACTGTTTTCAAATGAAAGTCCTCACCATCCTGTCTCATGGATCCTCCAGCTGAAAATTTCAGCTGTCCCTCAGGCAGAAGTGAAAATATCATAAACCAGAGGTGAAAGGACCATAATCCAGAAATTGGCAGGTGAATGACCTCCTCATGATCCATTAACAGTTGGACTCAATCATCTTAGAGATGTTTTCCAACCTCAGTTATTTCACAATGGCTTTTCTTCACTCTTTGGGGTCAGTCCCTCAGCAGCAGCTCCTCTTCATCTCTCTGTCCATGCAACAAGTTTCTCTTTTCCCTCCCCCTGGTGATGACAGTGACAAGGACTGCTCTTCCATCGGTGTGCAGCAGAGATGTGTGACAGGATCAGTACCCCTTCTCCTGCTTGGGATCCCTTTTGAGGCTCTGTTTGTGTTCTGCTCTCCTTGTAGAAATGCTGCAACACACACCAAGTACCCCTGGTCTGTTCTGGCACTCTGCAGCCACTTAGAGCAGTGCTGGATGCAGTGGAACGTGCTCACAGGAGCCTGAACATCTCTCCACTGCACAGCAATGATTCCTTGCTCAAACCACTGGTAGCACTGACCCCTCAGCACGAACAAACCTTTCACCACTATCCCACAGGACAGGAATTATTCACTGGAAATCCTGAGCAAAATTCAAGTCAAGAATCTTGCATTTATTCTCAGCCAATCTGCAAGCCACTGAAAGGCAAAATCTAATCAATACTTTTTTTGAAGCAAACCTCAATTAACTTGGTAGCTCCAACAACACGTGACTTCGCCAAGGAAAATTAGCCAGCAGGGATCTTCATGGCATTGTGCAGTGGCTGCCACTGACACCCAAACTAGGTGTCAGGTCTTTCTATGTGACAGAGCAATGGGGACAAACCTAAGCAGGCATTTCACTCTGCTTACTATCCAGACCTAAAACCCAAGCAGAGGGATCTTAGCTCTCTCTCACTCCTTTCTAGGAGGGCAGTCCAAAACACAATTTGCTCCTCAGAGTGCCACTCCTTTGGGAAAAATAACTTATTAGACTCTAGGTCACTTCATCTCCGTGTCCTCAAGTACCAGAGCAATAAAGTGGAAATAATTGGTCAAATCCCCACATCTTTAATGTTTGTACTTTACTCTGGCAAACTTATTGACTGATTCAGTTGGAAATGTGCCTGAACAAATAAAAAAACCCCTAGATTTGGCTTGCTGAGAATTCATAAATTGTCTGAACTTCAGTTCAACATTTTATCCAATGTTTTGTGAAATATTTCTAGGAAAATTATAGCTATTTACTCAGATCTAGGCAAGACACATGAAAACTAGATGCAGCTGCATCAGCAAAGGATAGCAAAGGATTGTGTTGGAAGAAATAGCTGCTAGGTGGAGACCTGTATCAGACTCTGCTTCTCATGGTGAACAGTGTTAATTGTGTCACTTTAACACACATCTCACAATGGAACTTTACAGATAAATTAGTTTTCTTTTATAGCTACATATTCATCAAAGTAAAACATTTTTGAAGAGACCTTTTGATTTTAATGTATAGTTTCTGCCTAGTCTCTTGCAATGGCTAGGAAAGATGTAAAGGTTCCAAAGCAGTCCTGCCATAAGCCAGTCTCAAGACTTCTGAGATTGCATGGATCTGAGGTGGTCCCTGAATTCAAAGGTGAGGGTATGCTTGATTTATAATCTGTTCCTTCAATACCAAAACCAGATGCACACAGACATTCTAGTTCTCAGATCCCAAATCTTTCCAGCTTCACATTTCCCAGAGGAAGACCTCTTGGTGCCTCTCAGCTCATCCTTCCCGACTTCTCTGACATTCTGCCCCCTCCCATCTGCTGTTCTCCCTTGCCACAAATGCCTCCTGTTGCTCCCAAACCTCCTTTGCTTGCAAGTTCATTCCTCTGTTCCTTGTACACAAATTCCACTGTAATCCAGCTGCTGGCTGAGATGCAGACATCGGATGATTTACTGTTTGGGGAGCTCTGTTCCCAGAGGGATGAGATTCAGGCAAAATTTCTCTGAAACACCTCATCTATCTCATCACCTTAGTGTGGGAAATCAAAGCAATACATTTGCAGCTCCTTTAAAATAGCCATTTCCAGAAGTGAAAGGGTTAAGAAGCACTGACATTGTTTGCTATCTGGTTACTTATATAAGCTGCCTTGGCATCCTGCAGGCTGTAGATAGAAATTCACCTCTCACATCAGTAGAGCACAACTGTTGCCAGACTGAAGAGCAGCAGCTGTGTGTCCTCTCCCAGTACAAGGGAACAAAACTGGGCTAAAAGCCACAAAGTCCCTGAGTTTCACCAGGAGAGCAGAGAGCAGGATACAGAGGGGATTTACCCCATGAGGTGGCAAATTTGGAAAAGGTGAACAGGACCAGCCCGTCCATTTAATGATCCAGATAATCCTCTTCTCCTGCTACTTGACCTTTGCTCTCATAATTCACAGAGGAGATTATGCCCTCCCCATTCATGGCAGAAATCACTGGGTTTTTTTCCTCCCAACAGCTCCTGTTTCTCTCTGTTTGGACTCACCTTGCCCTTGTAGAGCTCTGCTGCCGCCCGGAACTTGCGCATTCGCTCGGGGTGCTTTGGAGACATCTTGTCCGTGATCAGGAGGAGGTTAAACTGCAGAGAGCTCTGCATCACACCTATTGCTGTCTGCCCAGCACAGAGAGAAACACAGGCAAGGACACTGAGAACACTCAGTTGGCATTGGATGCAGTGTCTGTGGGACATGGCTCAGCTGTGGCTTCTTTGCAAATCAGCATCAAAAGCAGGACAGATTTCTGTAAAGCAGGGGGGGATCCAATTTGGGTTCTTTGCAGAAGTTCTTAGCCCCCTGGCTTTGCTTATTCTCCAGACAAGAGTCTGAAGACCCCAAAGATCCATCACTAGTTAGTGACTAGGCAAGAGGAGTAGGAGTAGGGCAGAATACAGGAAGCTGAAGGCTAAAGATGTGAAGAGCAAGGCCAGCAAACACTGAATATAAGGGTGTCCTAAATCACTGAGGTCCAGCACTTGTCTGAAATATGAGCAAGTGGGAAGGATTTGTTGTGTCAAGGCTGATGTTTGTCCTTATTTTCTTTCTTTGGTGTTACACTGTATGTAGGATGGGGATGAGTTCACAGTTTCAGCAGCCTGAGGGCCTGGACATTCCTGAGTGCTGAGGGTTAAAATTGTCTCTGCTGTCCCACAGTGAGAGAAGACCCTGGGCAAGGGCCAGATGGGCACTGCACATTGGCCCTCTGTGAGGAGCCAGGGCTGGCACTGCCCAAGAAGCCACGGCACCATCTCCATGAACTCTCTCACTCCTCATCTCACTTCTGTCTGCTTCCTGCTGGCCTGCAGCCTCTCCCTCAAATTAAACAGGAGTGGGGCCAGACCTGCTGCCTCCCTAGTGCCACCGAAACCACAGAGGCACAGCCTGTGCAGCTCCCCGCCAGTGGCAGCAGAAAGTTTCCACACGCTCCAGGAGTAACAAGGAAGGGGTCAGGGAGTGCATGCTGGCAAGAGCCATGAATAACAGAGCTTCTAGACTTTGTCAGAGGGGACTCTGCTGTTTGCTTAATATTTATCAGATATTTTGTATCCCTTCACTCTTCTGATAGCATGCAGCTGAGGTGGGGAACAGTGGAGGGGTTGCAAGCTAAGCTGGGAAGCGTTAGAGGCCCTCATGGGAGAGGATGAGGCTGAAGGTGAGGATGAAGCCAGCCAGCAGCAAGCCCCTTGACAAGGCTGGGGTGAGAGCAGACAAGGAGGGAGCAGCAGTTCCTCCAGCAGCTCCACACAAAGGTGTGCTTGTCCACACAACCTTGTGCGAGAGCAATCAGCAGAGCTCATCAGCAGGGCTGCATCACATCTGACTCTCCTGAAAAGCCCACAGGGTAAACATTGCCTAAAAATTCCTAAAGTGTGTAGGAGAAACAGTAAGGGCCCCAGGATGGGGAGAGGAACTCTTGGCAGCACTTGGTGTGAGCCATATGACCCCATTATCTGCTGACCTGCAGCATTTTTGGATGCAAACAGCATATGCACTGGGAATAAATATTTATGAAAATCCAAGCTACCTTAGGGGAGCTGGGAGGGCTTTGGGCCAGGGACTGCTGGAGGCACTGTTAATTGCAACACCTTGATAGAGCTCCAGAGCATCTGGGGAAGAAACTGCAACAACATCTGTATTGACATCAGGGTGGAGGGGACCAGCTGAACAGCTGACAAATTCTCAGTCAGGGAGACAGCCTGGTGCCAAACAGGACACCATGCAGTGAGAGCCCAAAGCATCAACAGAAATGCATCAAGAAAGAGACATTGTCCCATGAATTGCAAAAGGATCTAATAGGGGCTTCAAGGTTTCAGAAGGTCTGGGAAATTACAAAGATGAGAACATCATCCCTGTTGATGTGACTTGGGTATTCTTAAAGGGCTGTTAGGCCAGTGGAGCAGGATATAGCAGTCCCCAGAAATATTTTGTGATTTCAAAATGTAATTTTCCCTTTTGAAGATGAAAAAGCAGGTTTTTTTATTACAGAAAAAAACCAAACTCCTACCATATTTCACTGGGGGAAAAATGTAAAAAATGTTACATTTCAAAACAAAATACTCTCCTACTGGTGGGTTGCAACTGAACTGACTGAATGCATTGGGTTCTCTGGGATGATCCTTGAGTTTATCTTGAAAAGGTGTAGCTCTGCAACAGGTTGGGGCATTCTTCTCTAACACAAGCTGAGCCTGGTCAGCACTGTTATAGCTATCCAGAAGGCCACAAAACACCCCATCAGCAATGATAAAATCTCAGGCTTGCAGCAACTGGGGCTTCTAATACCTATTGACTCCACAGCAATGAGACCAAGGAACTGCTAAGATTTCAGGAGAACTTAAATCCTTGGTCAACCTCTGCAGCAGGGAGGGCTGCTGGGACCCTGCCACTGCCAGTCAGATGGGTGAGTCAGTGAAGATGGCCAACATGGAAGCATTCTAAGCCTGATTTTGTGTCTGGTTTGTTTGTTTGTTTGTTTGTTTGTTTGTTTGTTTGTTTGTTTGTTTGTTTTGGTGGTGGTAGTGGTTGTTGAACTGATGAATTCTGGAGGAACAATGGAAAGGATGGGAAAGATTTTGCTTGGGAAGTTCCCAACCCATTCTTGAATATGCATTCAAATATCTGGGCTTACATTAAGCCCTATGTGCTGAGTGATGCATAAATCCTGCCTTCTGTCTCAGAAGCAGGTCATTTGAGCTTCCATGTTTCTCAAGGCTTGTCAAAGAGAGGGCATTCTGGCTGAGCTGGCTCTGCAGGCATGGCACAACATGACAAATGTCCATGGGAGAAAGCAGCACTGCCTGCAGAGTAGTAAGAAATGGAGTTCTCTGCCCCTCAACATCCCAAATTTACTGGGAAGCCAAAGGAACTGTGATGAGTCCCTTCCTCTCCCATCACACTCATGCCCCAGTAAATCTGCTTCCAGTCCACATGTGGAGCAGCAGTGAAGAGCTGTGTGGCGTCCCCAATCCCATCTACACCATCACTCCAACCCTCACATCCATCTGGATATGCAAACTGGGGCCAGAGGGTACCATGAGAGGAAGGCCAAGCAGAGGGTGAGGATGCGGGGAGCTGGTGTTTACCACAGGGTTGTACTCTGTCACCAGGCGGAGCTCGTTCATGCGAACGAAGCGGGTCAGCTTCTTGGCATCCACCTCTCCGCTGCTCATGTCCAGATCCCGCCGGTCATTGTCTACCTGCAGTCAGGCAAAGACACCTACAGTCACAGCTGTCCTGTCCTCTCCTCCCAGCACCTCCTCCAGAGGCACTGATTGCACTCACTCACAGAGACACCCACCCCTGGGACACCACCATGCTCTCTCCCCCACTGCACAATCCCCACCTCTTCCCATCACCATTCTGGAGGCCTAGAACCTACAGGAACGAGCCTGCTCTTTGAGATAAGGGTCTCCCAGCCTTCTCCAGCCTCCTAAGGACAAGCTCATGGTATAATAGAAATCTCTGAGGGCTCCAGACATACCTACACCACCAGCTCTCGATGCGCTGGAGACAGGGAGAATTAGCTACAAACTATTCTAGGCATTGTGGAGAGAGGTCATTAAATAGTCTAACTCCTCACATCAATACTGGCTTTATGTCCCTTTTAAACATCTTCATCTGCTTATTCTGTTTCTTCTACAAGTAATAAACATTGGCATCGCCCGGTATGGAATTCCTGGAAACATTGTGCAAGCAGGAAATCTCTCCAATAAAAAGAGGATTTTTCTTCCAGTACAGCAGGAAAGAAAAAAAAAATATTAAGCCAAACATATTTCAGCTTTAGAGGAAAATTCATCCTGCCACACATCTCCCCACACTTCATCCCCTCAAAATGATGTGATTTTATTGAGATTTTCATGAGCTGATAAACAGAAAAAAGCAGGCAACCACTGACTGATAGCAATACACTAGAGTTTAAGGGCAGGGTTCCTGTGTAGTACCACCACAGGATGTGATGGAGCTAAGCCATGGGAGCAGTGGTCTCTGGCATGAAGTAGAGTCATCCCAAAGTTTGGGATTTGAAAGCCATTGATACATGCTGAATGAGGTTCTTGGGGCTGAGAAGCAGTCCACATGCACACCTCAGATTTTATTCTCTGCATGTGGACAACCTCTGAAAGTTGTTGTGTTAGTTTTTCCAGTGGTGTGCAGACATCTAAAGTAATTTTTGCTGTTCTGTGGTCATTGGCAAGGTCTTTGATACCAGTCACCCACCCTGTCTGACAACACAAGCTGGTGATTTTCAGACAGTGTGGTCTGATTCCTCTCACAGGTTTTCCTCCTGCATAACATGAAAGGGCAGCTCTGCTCAAGTAAATAAGATCAGGACAGTGCAACACCTGGGCGGGTGAGATCAGACAGGCCTTGAGAACCAATCTAAAGCAGCTTGGACTCTACAGAAAGTCTTCTCTTGGCTTCCATGGGCTTCTGGAAACCTCTGACTTCCATTTGGGGATAATAACATCTTGAATCAGCACTCAACATTTATGTTTTTAAGAAAATAAGGCTGGAAAATAGCCTGCATTTAATAGTTGAAGCTCTAGTCAAAATGTCTTTATCACTCCATATAATTAGGTGGTTAGCATCTGTTAACTATGTTCTTTTTAGGTCTATCAGGATTTCTTACTAGAATAAATCTGTTTCTTTCCCCTATTTACAAAGAAGTCTCACCAGTTGACACAGTCCCTCCTACTACTGTAATTATGGTTTAAACTTCTAAGCATTGTAAGTGTTTCATACACTGCAAAGGCAAAGAAAAAAATTAATTTATGCCTCTGATTCACTTCTATCCTGGTGACGCATCCTTGTATCCTTCAAATGAGTATTTGATTCCAAATTCCTGTATCCGTTCTTTTAAAATTCCTTTTTATCTCTGACCTCTTACTCCTACACATTATTCATCACAGGATAAAAGAAAAAATAATGTGTCTGATAATTTAAGAAAAACTGACAATCAGACAAGTGAATTGTCAACCATCTTTGAACCTGACTAGTGCATTATTTTCTTGGCTGTTTTTTTTCCATATTAAAGAAGAGTTCAGTTGCAAAAACTTGACTCTGAACAAAGAATATTCAATATAATAGAAATTCCAACAATCCAAACAATTTATTTTATCAAACTCTCTCCCAGGGCAACCATCATCACTATCTGCACAGTGCAAAAACAAAGGATCTTTTCAACATTTTTGGAAGAAAACCACAATGACTAAGAACCAAAATTGAAATGGGTGTTGTTGAAAATTGCAACATCTAGCAAATAAAAGGTTAAATAAAAGGATCTGCCTAACTATTGCTCACTCTTAGATCATTCTTTTTTAATTATTTGGATAATATCAGTGGTAAACATGGTGCAGGAAATGATGAGGGGGAAAAAGAGAACAAACTGTCCAGTCTTTGTACAAGCTGCATCTAGAACTTGGCCAAGCTGCCATATTTAGTTTCCCTAGAACATGTGGTGTGTACCCATTTCTCCCCACCTCAAGCACTTAGAGGTCTGGTGTCTCACAACACTTCACTGGCTTTTAGGACATCTTGTGCTGCCTGGGGCCCCATTTCTCTTCAGACACACCCACCTCTGCAGTTTTCAATTGCCATGCTTGTGCAAGAAGGAGCAATGTGGGGAAATTGATGTAACCAGTAGAATACTTGCTCTTAGCTCTTCTTGGTACTTTTGCAGCAAGTACATGGCTCTTCCCAGTATCATCTCCTTAAATTTCAGTAAATATAGCTACATTGAGGCTACACTGAGCTACCTGCACTTAGAGCTGGAGTCAACAGAGATATGATCTAGCACAGCATCCATCCCTAAGAAACTCCAAAGCAAGATTTCTAATGCCTAAATTTATTTAGGAAATGAGTCTGCAAACCACAGTGTAGGGTGGCACAGCATCTCTTAACTGCAGAGACCTCGTCTGGATGTGTTTTCTGTCTCATTGGAAAAGTTTTGTACCCTAGGAGACAGCTTTGCCTGCCTGAAGTGACACTTGCCAAGTTTTGGTATCAAGCCTGCTATGTTGATCCATTGTGACATGACTCTAGACGCTTTTCATGTGTCTCAGGACCCTTTCCAAAACCACAGAAACCCCATCCAAGTTAATGCCAAGCTCTGGGCAGGTCGTGTAGAAACACAGGCATTGCTCTTTGCAGAGCTCTGGGTGCTGACCCAGATCCGTAGGGAAACACCTAAACAGGAGAGTCTTACCAGGTGTAATTAACTCTCCATGTCTCAGTGACAGGCACTCTGCAGTTGAAAAGCAAAAGCCCTCTTTTGGGCAAGAAGAGGGATGTACTTTGAGGTGGGCAGGCAGCCTGACTGCCAATGACAACCCTATTTTTGGCTTGCCCTAAGGAGAGATGAGTTTTGTGCTTTTTACCGCTGTATGCACTCGTCCCACCAGCGCGCTGAGCCAGACCCTTGTGCTGGAGATGCAGGTTTTTGCCTGGCAGAGTGTTCAGGGAGGGAGCGGCCCGTGATGCCCCCCGGCCCCGCCGCGGTCCCACGCACCGTGCGGAACAGCACCACCGTGTTCTCCGCGGCGCCGTAGTGCGACAGCACGGCCGCGCTGCTGCTGAGCCCGAACGGCACCTCCGCGATCTGTCCGGCCGCCCGGCGAAACTGCTCCGCTCCGGGGCTCTGCGGGTCCTGCGGGCACAGCAGGGACGGTGAGGGGCCGAGACGGAACCGACACCGGCACCGGCACCGGCACCGGCACCGGCACCGGCACCGGCACCGGCACCGGCACCGGCACCGGCACCGGCCGCGGGCGGACCGAGCGCGACACCTGCCGGCCGCTCGGTCCCCGCGGGAGCGGCCGCCGCCGCCACCTCCTGCGCGGGCGGGATGCTCCGGGATGCAGGAGCCCGCCAGGATGGTGCCGAGTCCTTGGGAACTCGTCAGAACATAGGTGTAGCTCGTTAAAAAAAAAATTAAAACAAAAAATATATATGTGCATGTGTATATAAGTGTGTGTTTCCAAAATATATACATATATGAAAACATCGCCATTTTTATGCTAACCTTGATTCCAGAGTCAATTTTGAACACCTTGCCTTATCAGTGTCATGGTTCCTTTTAAAAGGACATCTTAGATACATCCTGTAAAAGTAGCTAATTCACGTACATCAAAGGATAGAAATGTGCGATTTCTCAGTATTTTGAGGTCCCTTCTCTTTCTTGCAGACACCATTAACTATAGCTATCCTTTGCCTGTATTAAAGCCTTCCTTGCTGTTCCCATTCCCAACTTTTTAATGATGTATTTTTGATACTTCTATTTATTGGATATAAATTCTCAAGACATGGTCCCTGCTTGGAAATTGGTTTGTTTTTCTTTTTAGTTTGAACTGTCAGCTCAGCTGTTTGTGAGCCCAGAGAAAATGGAAAACAAAATTCTTTGTTCGTTCCAAAGAAAAACATCTGTCATGACCTGTTTTGGAAATGCCAATGTATCAACTGCTCTGTTGAGAGTGCTAAAGCCGAGGGTGGGTATAATCTCGCTGAGTTTTCAGCATTCCTGGGAAACCTTGGGTTTAATCAGGCTGAGCACGGCCCTTTCTCAGAGACACGCGGGGTTTCTGGAGCAGTGTGCTGTGTTTCCATCACGGCATGCTGTTCCCAGTCAGGGAGGCCGTGCTCATTATACGGGAAGCTTGCCGAGCCACATACTGCAGTGAACTGAAAGGCTGCAGCAGAGAAGTAATTCATGGTGAGCGGAGAACATGGGCTTTATTTGGATGAATATACTTTCAGGCCGAGAGCCAAGCCTTCATGGCACACATACATCTTTATCTGCTGCTCAAATGCAGCCCGGCCATGCTTCAGGCACCGAATGCCCGACATGTGGCTGCCCCGTGCTCCTGGCACTGGGGCTGCGCGGCAGCAGCTCCCGTCTGCCTCTGAAGAATGCAGTCCTGCGGAGGGAGGCCACTGTGGCACAGGACAGAAGGAGCCGTGTCCCTGCTGTAGCTCAGGAGGAGGCTCTGGGTACGGTTCTGCCGCAAGCCCGGCAGCTGCCCTCGGGGAAGGACGGGCTCGGCACTTTCGTTCTGCGTGTGCAGATTGCCTGCCTGCTTTGCACTGCAGCTTTAGAGCTGCGAGAGCAACCCCCAAGGAGCTCCAATCGCCTGCAGGCACCGAAGTGGAGGCGGCTGGTGCTCTGTGATCAGTGCTTACAAGGCCCTGGAGCATGAGCCTCCTGCACTCACAGCTCACGGACTTGCGGCTGCCGCACTGCACAGGCAGCACCATCGCTCCTCCACATCGGCCCTCACTCACTCTGTGCTGGGCTGGCAGATGCCACTGCCCTGTGGCAAGAGCACGATGCCCTCCCTAGACTGCCCTCCAGCCCCAGGCACAGGGCAGGAGGAGGAAGGTGCTTGCAAAAGGATCTGGTTTTGAAAGTCTGAAGCCTTCTCTGACATGAGGCAGTGTGTGGACAGCAGAAGAGCAGAACAGAGCTCAAAGAAAACCTGGAAAAAGGTGCAACTTGGGGACTTAAAAGTGATAAGGATCCGATTAAAGAGGCCTCTGTTTTACAGTGCTGTAGCTCAATAAACGCTTTCCTTTTATTTTCTGAGGAAAAATACTCATGCCATTTGAGGGGGCAAGGGGCTCATAGCTGTCACTCACCTTTGAATTCAGTGGAATTTAGATAAAAAGAGACAGGTCTCAAGGGTATCTACTCCTACTCTGGGGAACAAAGAAGTGAAACAGAGACCATGCCTACATCCTCCCCACGAGGAGGCTTCAGCCTGAGCCCAAACTCTCTCAGACTTCAGTGGGCCTGCACTATCACTTCTCCCTGAGATTTGGCTTCCTCATCCCCATCACACAGGCAATGTGTGCCTCTGCCTTTGCTGACTACAGCAAATAACTGACATTCCCATGCACCCCTCACCAACACTGTTTCTCTACCATGTACATTTCTTTGTTCCTTCCCCTGCAGCATTCACCTCTCTCCTGCTCCAGGACTCCTACAACCTCCTTCATCTTCCTCCCTTGCTCCATCTCCTTTTCCATGCACAGACCAAATTCCCTGTGCTCTCTCTGTCACCCATCACCTAATCCCTCCACATGCCTGTCACAGCCCCAGCACTGTGGGCACTTTTTGGGACAACAGCTGCTTTGGCAGGTGTTTACACCACATCCACCTTCACGCCCTCATCAGGGTGGGATAGAGCTCACAGCTGGCAGAGGGGACGTGCTGTGAACACACCTGGAAGAATCCAATGACTGCCACCTCTGCACCACTGATGAAGGCTTCAGCATCTGGGACGTTGTCTAACAGGATGGGTTTGTCTGTGGTGCTGGCTGTGCCTGCAGAGCAAAGGTCAAGGTTGGGCAGAGTGTACACAAGGAGCAGCTCAAAGAGGATCCCCCCAACACACACACAAGCATTCCAACCTTACAAGCCCGCCCACACACCTCTCTTGCAAGCTCAACACGTTTGTGCAGCATACCTTGGACAAGGAGGACTCCCTGAAGCAGACCCAGACTTTCCCCAAGGCAGGAAGAAAGCTCACTTACTGTGGGATGCAGAGTCACTCCCCCCAGCACACCCTGCTGGGGAGCACCTGGTAAGCAGGATGCCAAAGAGGCACGGGAAGATGGATGTGCCCATGGCACCAGCTCGCCTTCTCCTCACCATGCCACCCTGCTCCGGTGCTCTCCTCAGTGAGAGACACGTCAGCTGCTCTGGGGACCCACAACCCCCCTGGGGCGGTGGGAAAGGAGCAGCTGGCCCAGGGCAAAGCCTCCAGCTTTTGAGACAAGTGCCTGGCTGGAGAAAGCCCCTCCCTGCAGTGCAGGAATCAGCCTTGGAGAGCAGCACCAACACTGCAGTGTCACCTCACCCACGGCACTGCACTTGACAGCTGCCCTGCACCCTTGTGAGCAGACACCCCAGCTGGGTCAAGAACAGCCCTCTCCAAGTGCTGGATCCCAGAGGCTGATGTTCCCTTGTGCTTGGCCAGCAGGCTGGCCACGAGGACGTGCAACTCTTGCATTAGCTCCGGGGAACAGCTGCTACGGTAAGTGCTAAACATGAGAAGGGTATGTTACAGCTCCCTGGCTCATTCAGCAGCCATCTGGGATGAGAGGTGGGGGCTGTCCACCCCTGGAGTCTACCCCCATCACAGCCCAGACTTTGGCTTCAAAGAATTAATGAAATCCCTGAAGGAAACTGTTCTGAAATAATTTGCTTATAGAGTAAGGCTGCTGCTTTGAAGGAGAAGGGCTATTTCCCTGCTGAAATATGCTCTTAAGCCTTCCTATACTGCATTCTCCACACACACATCACTGAGAAACATGCTCTAGAAAAGAATGTGACACTCATGCAGAAAAGAAGAAAGAAACTGGTTTTATTCTCAGACACTGAAGTCTTGTTGCGGCAGCTAGCTGCATTCCCCCTGACTGGCTTTGCCTGCACAAGGATGGATTTTAACAGGGTAGGGCACCAGATACAGACCAGGAGACCATCACGGGAGGTAAGTGACCCTTTACAATGAGTCAGAGCACATGGCAAGTGTAACTCAAGATAGGGATTTTCCAGGGACCAGTCCACCCCTGCCAGGTGATCTTGTTTCCTCGAAAAGGCACTTCCAGGACTGGAGTTGGTATGGGAGAGATGGGGACAACAGGAGGAAGTACTGGGGGAGAGGGAGGGAGGTGCTTCCCAATTTAACCCATTATGGTCATGATGGGGTGGTGGCTGGGTTGTTCTCAGTGTATCAGAAGAAGCAGCAAAGGCCTGGAGACTGGTGCAGGAGGCAAGGGGATGGGAAGGGGGAAGGCAAACTGGGTGAACTCATTCTGTCCATTCCTTCTTGATGGACAGGTTCCACTCCCAGGTGAGATGGTCGTGCTTGTCATCATCCGTGAAGAAGGATTTGTTGTGGTAGGTGCCTCGAGCCAGCATACCCTTAGGAGCCTCCTCAACGGGCGTCAGGAACTCGTACTCCTCTGGCCGTGGCCCGTAGCTGCCAACCATGAACGTGGCTTTGTCCACTAGGAGAAAACAATCCACAGGGAATAAGCCCCTCACATGGGGAATGATGAGGGAGAGAGGAAGCCATGAGCAAAAGAGCAGGAAGGAGATGGGGGAGAAAGGAACAGCCCATGGCAGCAAAGGAGAGCAAAATCAGTGGAAAAAGTGGGTTAGTGAAGCATAAGGACAGCTGGAAGGAGAACACAGATGGATGGGCAGGTGAACAGGCAACTCAGTTTGTGCACTCTCACATGGATGTACTTGTCCTCATTTGAGACTAATTTGGGAGAAAGCTGAACATTCTGGCTGTGAGTACACCCAGCATATGGCTCAAGATCTACCTTGATTTCCCACTACTTCTCTCTACTGGTGAGAAGACACCAGTTATGTGTGCTGAACAGGATGCTGAGGCCTTAGAGGTGGTTGCACAAAAATGCATGTGGGGTGTGTGTGTGCAAAACGGGGTTTTCCTCTGCCTTGTCCAAGCAGTGCAGCACTGAGGAGAACCCACGGGCAAATACAGGGCCCTGCACACAATGGGAAGTTTCACAGAGCAGGTCTGAATTTTACCAAGGGCTTCTGAAGAGCTTTCAGAGGGTGGGAAGCTCTACACAGGCTGAACCACTGCACAGGGGGCAGAGGGGACGAGAAGAGCTCTGTATGGAAAGGCAACGTGTGGCAAGCACTGTCCAAGCAGAGTGTCTGTGGACTTTGCTGCTGCAGCCAGGGTGTAGCATACAGACCCCAGAGCTGGCTCACACTGAGTGTGCACAAAACAAGGAACTGCTGTCCTGGGTGAAGCAGGCCTATGCACTCTGCTGAGAAGTCACCTCCTGAGTGTTAGCACAGGGTGGGACCAAGGGGGCCTCTGTCCCAGCCCAGAGCTGCAGAACCTTGTTCCAGAAGAGGGAACACAGAGGCAGGAGCAGTGCTGTGCAGGGCATGCAGGGCTCTTACTCACCCTTCACCCCTGTCCGGTAGGTGTGCTGCACATATTTCAGTCCCGACACAATGTCCCTGTTTACCTGCAGGAAGTAACCAGAAGTGTCAGGAGAGGAGTTTTGGTTCTGTACCTGATGATTTTTCCCCTCCTGAAGGACATACCCATCTTGGCTCCCTACACAAGGGAGCCTCAGCACAGGGCACATTGTACAGGTCCCTAAAACAACTTCTCCATAGGTACCTGGAGACTTTTAGCATCCTCTGTGCAACTCTGTACTTCCCTATCATTTGCTCAACTTTGAAGCTGACTGGAGCACATCAGTAAAGTTCTCAAGACATGCTGATGAGGACAAAGAAAAGTGAAGCAGGGAGTTCCTGTTTAATAATTTTCATACTGGAAGCCATCCATGGGTAACTAGAGTCATCCCTTCAGCCCCAATGGGTGGGCAGCTCCCAGGTGCCCTCTAAGCTCCATGGGGAGCTGGGAAGTTTCTTCTCAAAAGAGAGAGGGACAGTTTTCATAAATCTTTTCTCAAATCTCCCATGGATAGCTTGGGTGTATCCAGTGCTGCTCCTCCCCTCCAGCATATACTGCCTTCCCACAGTGCACACTACTCAATCTGAAAATGAGATGGACAGATCCCTTTACATTCCAGGGTAGAATTCCCACAGTACCAGCCCTTACCAGCCATGGAACTGAGGGAGGGAATTAGAATAACCTGTCTGGCTTCAGGTGTCTCCAGTCAACAAGGCACAGATACAGATGGAAATATTTCACAGCACAAAAGAGAGCTGGAGGTGTCTCAGAGGAGAGCATTGAGGGACATTCATCTCTGAGACAGCAAGCCTCAGAGAAAAAGGGAAATCTGCCCTACAGAAGCCACAGTATTAACACCTTCCCTCATCTGTCTCAGGAGAATTATCTTTCTTCCCTTTTTGCATTCTCTTCCAAGCCCATCTTTGAAGCAAGCACTTGCAGAGATGATCAGTTCAGTGCTGGATGCCACACTGCAGCGTGGCCAAGTTTAATTTTCAGCTGTAAACAGAAGAAATTGCTGACACACTGATTAATGGGAGTGAGGGTGAAATAAGACCATTTAGGTATATCACAACCTGAAGAATTCAGGTATCTTCAGCCAAATGCTACAACATTACATCTTCTAAATGTGTACATGAAGTCCAGTATTACTGACTGAATCAGTACTTCATGAACAGCCATTCTTCTCTTCTCTTCTCTTCTCTTCTCTTCTCTTCTCTTCTCTTCTCTTCTCTTCTCTTCTCTTCTCTTCTCTTCTCTTCTCTTCTCTTCTCTTCTCTTCTTCTCTTCTCTTCTCTTCTCTCTCCTCCCTGTTCATTTCCACTTAGTGTGGAGTAAAGATTTTCTAGTGGCTAAAAAGCAAAACCAAACTCAGCCAAAACTACCCATCTGGCTTTTAACCCACTCATTTATCAGTGTGAGCAAACAGAAACCAACTTCCTCCAAGGGGTGAGCAAGCAGAAGTGATTTCCTGGAAATACCTCATCCCTTGTTGGGTAGAACAGCACCTGAAGCTAGGGGAGCTTTTGGGCAGGCCTTCTGCCTGGCTCTAGTTATCTGATAGACTGCCACTGACTGGCCTTAGCAACTGAGAAGAAGCAACTGGAAGGAAAACAACTCACTCTGAAGTGGATCTTAACTCTGTATTCCACCCCTTCCTTTAATACAAAGGTCTCTTTCTTGAGTGCTTCGAGGTCACCTGCAAGAAGAGAATCAAGCTGTCAGCTAGAGATGTCACAGCAAGGAGAGACCAGGCACAGGGGGGAAGATGAGCATGGGGTTGCTGTCAGAGGTGAGCATCCCTTCAAAGGATGACACCTGTAAAATGAGCATGCAGACATCCTTGTGAGATTGTGTTGTGTGACCAAATACACAGAAATTCCTGGGTGCTCGTATGTATCTGTGCCCACAGAAGATAATGCCTGAACACACACAGGTCTGAGCACATGTACACAAGGATGTTTATGCACAGGCTTGTTGCAGAGCAGATGCAGCAGGGTGTGTATGCTCCATCCATGCCCAGCCTGGCTTGGTGAGAGGAGCGTGTTCCACAGCTCCTGCCCAGCTTGGAAGGCTGCCTGGGCCCCACAGGGGTTTTGGGTGGTTTTGGGTGAACAGGAAGCCTCTCTGCCTCTCCAGGCCCAGCTTCCTCTCTCTGCAGAAAAGCCCATATAAGGCTCTCTCCCCATGCCCCCAGGAGCCGGAACTGCAGTATTGCTTGATTCTAAAGTTTCAATACAGCCTGCTACCCAAATGCATGCACATCCCTTGTGCTCATGAAGTGTCAATGAAAGGAAGCAAGCAGAGATGGCAAGAGAAACCCAGGAGCTCCTACAGCAGTCTAGATGAAGGAAAATATCTCAATATTTTCCTCTGTTACATCAGCTTCTTTTTTATTTATATGTGTATACCTTTTAAATAAGAAACAAGGCTAAGATGACTTCAGAGCTCCTCTAAAACCCACTGTGGCATCCCAAGGACAAACTCTCTTTTAACTTGCAGCATGCCAGGGCCTTTGGTTGTTCCCCTCTGTGACCAAGGGCAGAGCCTGTGCCTACCTGTAAGGTCCATGGTGATGGGTCCTGGAGCAGAGTCACAAACCAGAGTGAGTCGGGTGACCACCACATTGGGAGCTGTTGGGTCTGCAGGTAGGAAAAGTCAGGGGGAAGCTGTCAGCTTGCAA